TGCCCCCCAGGCCCATTCCCACAAGGCGCCCCAGAAGGATACCGTGGTCGACGGTATCGAAGGCCGCTGAGAGATCCAGCAGAACCAACAGAGACACACTCCCCCTGTCGAGCTCACGCCGGAGATCATCGACCAAGGCGACCAAGGCTGTCTCGGTACCATGCCCCGGCCTAAAGCCAGACTGCGCCGGATCCAGATAATCAGTGTCTACCAAGAATGCTTGGAGTTGTGAGGCCACCACACGTTCCAGGACTTTGCCCAAGAAGGGAAGATTGGAAACAGGCCGATAGTTGACGAATTGAGTGGGGTCCAGTGATGGTTTTTTCAACAGCGGTTTTATAACAGCTTGTTTTAAGCTGGCTGGAATTATGCCTTCCCGAAGGGAGGCATTAACCACCACCTTTACCCACTCGGCCAATCCCCCTCTGGCCTCCTTTAGAAGCCAGGATGGGCAGGGGTCTAGGATGCATGTGGTTGCCCTCATCCCTCCAAGCACCTTGTCCACATCCTCAGGTGTCACAGATTGAAACGAATCCAACAAACTCGGACAGACAGGTGTTCTCGTCACATCCTCAGAGACTGCCGTTAACATGGTGTCTAGACCTGAACGGATCAAAGCGACTTTGTCCGCAAAGAACCGAGCAAATGCTTCACAGCGGGCCGTCTAATGCAGGTTAATTTCTGGTGGGGGTCTGTTGATGAACCGGGGTGCAAATGCTCTATGATGCTGCACCTAGAACAAAGGAGGCTTCCCGTGTTCCATTTTGAACAATGGGGCCAGCGCAGTGGGAAGCCGTATGGTGACACTTCCCTTCATGTGATGGGGAAGCAGCGCTGCCAGCAAGGCGTTGTGCTGCAATTGTCCCACTGCTCCTCCTATTTGTCATGGAGGCTGGCGAATTGCCCTGCGAAACCTCATCAATGTGATGAGCTCCTTATACATGAGGAGAAGTCTTTGCAAAGCAAAGAGCCATTGCTTAGGGAGATATCATTCTTCACACACATTATCATGTCAGACAGATCACTTTGCTGCGAAGTGTGCTGGCGCATTCAACTGTTGGTCATCAAGCACTGAGTGAGTAATCCAATGATGTGCAAAACAGTTTCACCATTTCATTTCAAATTCTAGTTTTCCTCCACTGTCTGTCTGAAAGAGTCGGATATTTTAAGAGATGATTTGGCCTGCCTCCATGTAGAGGGTGTCTTCTAGTCAGTGAGCAAGAAATTTAAATGTTTCTCCTTGGCTGAGTGCACTTTCCTTTAGTCCCATTCAAATTGCACTGGGTATGCAGTTGGACATGAAGTAAGCAAAAACAATGATCACAGATAATTTATATTCCATTGAAGTAGACATTAAAATGATTCAAGATATTTTATACTGCAATCAAGAAATCAGAAGATTAGGACTTGGAAGGACAACTATGAAGGGATGAGACGAGATTCTAAATTTCACACACATATATAATTTTAATACTAAAGTCAGGATTTCCAATGTCATTGTATTTATTATATTTATGTATTGTTGTAAAGGCTGGACAGTGAAGAAAGGTGATAGGAAGAAATCAGTGCTAGAGTAGATTTCTATAGATATTATTGATTGTGTCTATAGCCAGGGGCGGCTCGTCCATTATGCGAAGTAAGCAGTTGCAAAACACTTTTTTTTGCCAGGGGTGCAGAGGCGCCTCTGTAAATGCCCCTCGACCGCCACTTGAGGAGCGCCCC